CATTAAAGTACATAAAGGGTAAGATAAATGGAAGTGTTAAAATTATCGCAGGATGAGTAAACTTACATTAGTAGCTACTAAACTGTCAAGCTCGGCTCGAAAAGATTTCAAATGGTCAATGGAGGAACCCGTCTCTCTCCTAGATGCCCAATGGTACACGTGTGGCATGTCTTCATTGTAGCCCATGTTCTGATGAGGTCGGAATGCTCGGAAGTGCTCATAAATCCACGCCTCCAAAAGATTCATATAACCACCCATCTGCTTAACCCCAGACCGGCTAGCAAACCCCAACTGTCTATATAAAAATGCTAATGCAGCAGCACCCCAGGCATAAGTATGTATGGATCCCAAATCCATCAACAAGCCGAGGTAAACAACGGGAACCCTGCCGCCACTCTTGTCACTGAAGAGTGTACATCCCAACAGAAACAATAAATAAGCTCTAGCAGCGCACTGTATAGCCTCCTCGGGGTTTGAATCTGTGACACCAGCAAACTGACTTCGCAACCATTCAAGCCTGACTGAATTGCCACCAGCAGAAGAAACCTCTTCATGTGCTGCACGTTCAGTAATCCCCAAGCCATAAACGAGTAATGTAACTCCATGATGATCTGTCACATCTGGTATGCTGACTGATTTGCCTACAATGGGAAGGCCAAGAATAGTGCCAACATCATCCAGGGTCAAGGTTATCTCACCAACTGTCATGTGAAATGTGTTCGTCTCAGGTTGCCATCTCTCAACAAAACTGGAGATTAGAAGCTTGTTGACAAATTAATAAGTGCAACGAGCTAACTGTGACAGTCCAGACGGCTCAATAATGGCTTTGAATCTGGTGTTGTTCTCTACTAACCACCATGGCCATGCAAGGATCTTGGAAGAGTGATTATGACACTTTAGGGGCCCTCGTTCCTACAACACAAATGATATGTCATTACAAACTCCCATACAACACACACAAAAAAAAAAAAAAAACTCATATACAAATGAATTTCACTTTTACTGAGGAATGTTTACCTCCCCGTGCCAAATAGCTGCAGCCACATGACTATTGAAACTCCGCAGTATTGATGGATCAGTCGGTCCACCTGGAAAAGCATGAGTAAGGTACTCTTTCTGGACAGGAGGAGAATCAGGTAAAGAGGTATCCTCCACAGCAATGTCAGGCATATCGTAACCTTCAACTCGTCTTTGGCTTCGGCTCCGACTTTGACTGGCACTGGGAATATCATATTCTACTGAAACTGGATCACGACCTCGACCACGACCTTGACCTCGTCCCCGCCCACGCCCTCGTCCCCGTTCATGGTCTACATCCAATTCACAACGTCGTCTATTTGAAGCAGTAGGTAGGACACGTTGTTGATATTCAGAATCCATATTATCTGCAAAAAATAATAAGTGTGTGTAATGAGTGTGTGTATAAATAAGGAGAGTGTGTGTAAATAAAGAGAGTGTGTGTAAAATTAATGAGAGTGTGTGTAAAATTATAATAAGTGTGTGTAAATTATAATAAGTGTTTTAAATTATAATAAGTGTTTTAATTAAGTGTTATAATTAAGTGTTTTAATTAAGAAGGAAAAAAAAACTGTTCGGAAGTTCACAACCGAAAATACCTATTCTGTTCGGAAGTTGTTGTCCGAAACACAAACATAATTTCGGAAGTTGAGTGTTGACAAAATTCAAATTTTTTTGGAAGTTGACTATCGAAACAATGAAACATTTTCGGAAATCTACTGATGAAATTATTGATTATTTTCGGATTTCTACGTCCGAACAAATTGTTATATTTCGGAAAACCAGTTCTGAACGACGGTTACAAATGAAAAACTCTACATTACAAGTGAAAAACTCTACATTACAAATGAAAAACTCTAGATGAAAATGAGGATTGAATAGGAATGATGATTCAAAAGTAAACTCACCTAATGAGGATTGAAAATCTGATGGAATGCTTCAATGGGATGCAGCTTCGTGGATGAAATGATTCAATGTATTTGCACACCTGGGTTGCACACGGTAATGAGATGGAATGCTTCAATGTATTTGCACACGGTTGAAGATGTGCTTCAGTTTGAATAGGTGCTTCAGCTTGTATGTGATGGAATGCTTCAAGGTTGAAGATGTGCTTCAGATTCAATAGGTGTGTGTATTTTGGGGTCGGGTGTGTGTGTGTGTGTGAGGGTACATTTGGAACTCACCGTGTGTGTACTGAGGAAACTAATTAGGAATTAATTTTTTTGGTGTGTGTAGTGAGAAGGATGTGCAAAGAGGGGATTAGGTGTGTGTATATAGAAGCTCCCGTCGAAGGCTGATCCAACTGGGAAATTTACTGTCAAATCCTTGTATAACTGGGCTGAGTCGAATTTGGGAGCTAAGGATAAAGTGTTAGGACTTGTATGGAAAAATGTGGCTCCTCCCAAAGTTCAATTCTTTTGGGTGGGTAGCTTGGAAGGGTAGGGTTAAAACTGCTGTGTTGTTGAAACAGTTAGGAGTTTTGGATTCCAGTGTTAATGTGAAGTGTATATTTTGTAATTCTGTTGAGGAGACTGCTGACCATATGTTTATTCACTGCCCAGCTGTTTGGAGAGTCTGGTCTGTGCTCTTGGACTGGTGGGGAATGCAGTGGGCTTCACCACTCTCAGTTGCCATGCTTTTACAATGGTGGAGTGGGCATAGATTCAGGAAATTTGAAAAGAAAATCTGGCAAGTGTTGACTTTTGCTGCTCTGTGGTCTCCGTGGAAGGCAACAAATGATTGTAAGTTCAATGGATCTCAGGTCTGCTGGGGGTCTTTGTGTGATTTAATTAAGACTAGAGCAGCCTTATGGGCTAAATACACATCCAAAGAGTGTGGATACTCTGTTATTGACTAAAGTGTATAGACTTGATTCAGTAAGGGGATGGCCTGTTAATGACTTGTGAGCTGCTATCTGTTCTGATGTGCTTCTATTGGATGGTGTATGTTATCTTTGTATTCATATATTGTGTTCATCAATAAATATTTCCTTTTTGTTGATCAAAAAAAGATGTTTCGTGAACTTTATGTTGTTTGCGGTTGAACTGGTTGAACTTTGATCTTCAATTTGTTGCTCCAAATTTGGCAATTTTTCAGTTGTGCGTCATTATAATGTCATGCATTCTGTGATTGTTTTTCCTTTTTTACTTGGTTGTATATAAGGGCAAAGGGGAGCATGATAGTGAACACGATGGTTTACGTACCTTTTGGAGTATAGAATTGATTTCAAAAAATATAATACCTTTTGCCATAGGGTTTTAAATACATGAATTCATTGATGACCATAGGATAAAGGGTGAAGAGTATAAATAAAATCAAAATCAATCTGTACTGATTTTATCAATGATCATGTTGTACATCATGGCTTCTACACTGGATGCTATAGCAATTTTAGGTTGATTTTGTTGTGTGAATTGTTTTCTACATCTCCGTTTGCTGTTTTTGATTTCTTTGAAATTTTATTGCTTTCCATCATTGGTATTTCACTATATATTTATCTTCCACTGTCCTAAATGCTGTTGTTTGGTCCGTGAAACTTCAAGTTGCCTGTTGATGTTTTGAGCTCGTAGTGTAATGATTAGAGTTGTTAATTTCTACACTGGATGCTATAGCAATTTTAGGTTGATTTTGTTGTGTGAATTGTTTTCTACATCTCCGTTTGCTGTTTTTGATTTCTTTGAAATTTTATTGCTTTCCATCATTGGTATTTCATCATATATTTATCTTCCACTGTTCTAAATGCTGTTGTTTGGTCCGTGAAACTTCAAGTCGCCTGTTGATGTTTTGAGTAATGATTTGAGTTGTTCATTGTTAGATTTGTTGGGAGTGATTTTTTTTTTTTTTTAATGTCATTTTACATTGATGGTATTATTGTTATGGTAACATTAAGGTTTTGATATAAATATTTTTTGGACTTTTCACACTTTAAATTTCATGTCTACCCCTTGGATTATTTTTGTGTTACAAAATTGTAAAGTTTTTGAAGAAAAATATCCTTGCATTGTCGAGAGCAAGATGACCGAGAGTGAGCCTGCGAATTCCTACAAAAGAACACGACCGGTGAGAGCCACCTGAGCAAGGGTGTTTGGTCGAAAAGGGCATGGATGGTGAAGTTAGTGAACCACGTTGTGGAGATTGTTCGTACCTTTTCCTTTCATATTTCCTTTCACATTCTCTGCTTGGCGCCATATGCCGTCAAGACATCAATGACTAATCGGCTATATGTCTTCCAACTGCCAGACATTGCATTTTATCCCTGATACCTGCTGATCACGGTTCTTGTTCGGCCAGTCCTTCCCTTGTTTACTTCTTCTGCTGGGCTCTTAGCCCACTTCTATGGCCCTGATTTTAGTTAATTTTTACACACTACAAAAAGAAAAAATAAGCCAGTCGAACAGAGTGATCAAAGGACTTCTACCCCATATTTCTCTTCTCCTTTACTCTCTATCATCCAACTTCTTTTTTCCTCCTTGTCTAGCAGCTTAGTTTTCTTTATTACTCTCAGTACAACACAACACTTCTGTTTTAGTCTTCTCCTACCCTTCCTTTTTTTTTTTTTTAGAAACATTTTGTATTTTTTGTTTTTTGAATCTACTTTCCTTTAGGTATACTTCATTTGTGATTACCTAGTCCTTCCTATTTAGTTCTACTTGTCTAAAGTTAAATGTTTTTTTCATGATTGTTAGTATCATTCTAAATTTCAGTTTGTTAATTCTCTCAGTTAGTCTACATTTAACTCTATTGCCATGAATTGTTCCATTCCATCTAAATTCTGGTTGCTCGCATCACCTATTGTTCGAAGGAATACTACTATCTTCAAACCCGCAATCTCTATGTAAATTCTATACCCAAGTCACATAAATCTCATTTTCCTTCATGTTAGGTGTGCTCTCGAGCTTAATACAAATCATCAATCAGTAAAATTTCAGGTGTGTTATGAGAATCATTGTCTTTTTTATGAGATTGCAGAGCATAAAAATTCAACATTTCACTGAAATTTGAATCTGATTGCTAGCTTCTTTTATTGACTCCATTGCCAATAAAGAGTCTGAGAAATATGTCTCATGTCAATTCAACTATGTAGATTTAAAATTTAAAATTTAAATGCTTCTAAAACTATCAGGTTGGTAAGCTATGGGATCCATATAAATGTTCTGAAACAGATTTTCTTGTCTGGTGCACACTTCGGAAATCCATGGAATCAAACCAGTGTCATTTTGTGTGGCACAGTATTTGAAAGCAGAAAGTACTTATTCAAATAGGGCCATTGTGGAGAAAATTTAAGCCAGCTCCAGCTGATAAGGATTCGGGATGGCAATAGGGCAGGGCAGAGAAGGGGTTGTAGTACCTAACCTCGACCGCGAATCATATTGGCTGACATTCAGGGTGGGGCTATGCAGATAGGTTGGAGACTAGTTAGTTTTGTAATCTTAATGTGTTATTCAAAACTATTTAAAATAATACTCAATTTCATTTATTTCTTAAAACTACACAAGTAATATATCCCATACTTTAAATCAATAACTATCACCTTAAAAAACTTAAACTCAAAGTATTGAATAATTTCTTGTCTTTTGGTAGTTTTTTTGCCGACACAACCCCATCGTAAACAACCATTTTCCAAAGCAATTTGTAAGATTTATTCAAAAGGGACTTGTCTCAAGGCCAGTAATTTCCTGCATGACACATATATTGCAAACTATTATTAGATATTAAAACAACAAATAAATAAATAAATGAATGCAATAAATATTTCTATCCCAAACAACTTTGCTCACAAGTATCACCAAATATTTTCTTCATCATCAACAAATTTGAATTCTCATTTTGCTGTCAAATGATTACGTTTAAGGGAAAAAATAACCGAAACTTACAAATCTCTAAGGAAACCTTGGAACGATAAATAACAAGGTATTTGCTTCAGGCTTTGATGAGCTGACTACTTATATACACAAATAATGATAAATTCTAAAAGTTATCCTTTGCTTGGCGGATAGCACCCAATGCTTCTGCATCATTTGCTGTGTCTGGAATTTTGAGCGACTGGCGAATTTCCATACTTGAAGTGCGAAGGAATGGATTACACAACTTCTCTTTCTTCAGAGTAGTCGGAATCTAGTATACATCACAATCAAAGTCGTACCGAATGGTTAAGAAATTGAAGATTATGGAATTCTGGAAGGGATTTAAACACCTACTCAGAAATGTTATCTGATCAATTCAGAATCGCAAAACTAACAAATTTCACACAACAAAGAATTCACACAAAAGTTCAGGAATTACAGTTGGCAAGCCCTTATTACGAAGGTGGGCAACATGGGCAGCATAGGACTTTAGTGCTTCATTCCCAGGTTCAATGGACAAAGCAAACTTAGAATTACTCTGTCAAAATAAGTGACATCAAGTTAGGGACCACTGAGATTTTTAAGGTCAACATGATAGAGTAAATGCCGAAAAGGGTATAAAATAATGAAAGGAAACATAGCTTACCAAAGTATATTCGTGTCCGCAATATACGCTTGTGTCATCTGGTAAAGACGCTATTTTTTTAAGGGACGAAAACATCTGGAACACAGGCAAGTAATTGTTATAATACCTGAATCATGAGAAAGCAAAATAGTAACTATACATAGAGAGGAAATTATTTTTACCATTTGAACCATTCTTCGACTTTGGTATTTAACAAGTTAAAAATAACCTTAACATATTAATCTTATGAGAATAGCATGGTTTTGAATCTCAGAAGAGAGAATTTCTACTAAAAAAATTGTGAGAATTTCAGTTTTTTGAGGACAATAAAATGTTGAAAGTGTTTCCATATTGATAAAAAGGTTTGGACTAAACTCTTGGAATTTCAAAATTTAAATACAGGTAACCTTGACAGTGTCACTTCAAATCTAATTAATATAAAATTCTTGGCATTTTAAAATTTAAATACATGTAACTGTGACATTGGCACCTAAATGTAAGATTTCAAACATAAATTACAAATAGTAGATTTTGCATAGAAAATTAATTAGCAAACCTTTTTCCCTTCTAATGTAAGACGAAAATATTACGGATGTTTACATTGATTATACAATAGCACATTGTCTAAAAATATACATCATTATTGAATATGTCGTTTTCCTAGATTGTGTGATCTGTAGTTTCATAATCATAGTTGCCAGGCACATACCTAAAACGCATATCTAATTTTCTTTTCTTATTTACAGAAAATAAATAAATAAATAAAAAATTGAGGCAATACATAGGGGGTTCTCTTAAAAAGTCAAGAGGAGCATTGTCGATAAAGAGCAACATAGAGCAGGGGGCAAGCCTGATTCCACCTAACCCCAAGTCAGATTCATCATCAGACAGGGACTTGCTGTCGCTAAATCCCAAATCCAACAATGGATAGGGAGCACACTCTTGGTAATAGTATATTTCAAAAGAAACAAATTGTGGATTTAGTGGCAGCAAGTCCCAGTCTGGTGCAAATTTCAATCTCATATTGTCATACTTGACGAAATATTGATAGCATATCCACCTCACACCTCCCTATCACAGGGCAATGGACATACGACACACTTCCGTAAATACCATCCACATTGCATGGAATCTTTATAATCATCCACTAGAATAAACAACTACGCACCTGTGTCATGACCTCTGCAATTAACAGTGTTCACCTCTGCTACTGCATACAGACTAGGATGGTATTGTATTCAATCCAAGTTTACAAACAACATAAGTGTGGCTGCCAACACCACTGTCGTCATCTCATGACACAAGCCAACTTTGATATTTGAAATTATCATAATACCTATAATTATAAATTAAATGACAAATCTCTAGTTGCTGTTGCATCGACCTTCGCTCAAGTCACAAGTTTCTAAGGACCAAAGGGATGAACTTACTTGCAAGATGACGTAATCAAAATATGTGCATATAAGAGAATGCATTGCAAATAGCCTCAAGTTAAAAATTACCTGCTCAGGGGTTCCTTCAAAAAGCTTTCCACATGATAAGCTAAACAAAGTGTCTCCTGTAAAAATTGCTTGTGATCCAGGAAAGTAAAAGCTAATATGCCCTGCTTGCAATTCATATCAAGACAGATAATTAGCTGGCAAGAAAATAAACATACAGAAAAATAACGACTTACTACAAGGAACGTAATGAACATTTGGCAACACTTTTTTGTTTTTTTTTTCACTTAATAATCACTCACTCTTGCTAGACTGGATGAGAGTCACACTTAGACAGACTGGATCTCTCAATTGGATCTCACCTAAGTCTCATCTCCCGTTAACTCAGTCCTTCAGCTCATCCTGAAGTAATTTCAAAATTTTTTTTTTTTTTACTTAAATTATATGTAAATATTTGAAATGCCCAATTTTAATACCCTAATTTCAAATCCCTCAATTTCGAGTCCCTACATATGAAAAGCCTTTTTTTGAAAGTCCCAACCTAATTTCAAATCCCTCAATTTCGAGTCCCTACATATGAAAAGCCTTTTTTTGAAAGTCCCAATTTGAAAACCCTAATTGGATGCCTTAAGTTTGATTATGCGTAGCCACTGCTATTATGAGAATTCAGCCTCTTCAATTGATTAAATAGGTGGCCATTGTCCCAAGTCTCATTGTGTTCTGTTTGTGTTTAATTTGGATGCTTCTTTATTCAAGGCCCAAGCCATTTTCAACCGACAACACTGCACCAAAAAGCATTGGTTTGGTGCAGTTCATCTGATTCACTATAGAATTTCAAAACTGATTGCATCAGTTCGGTTTCAAAAGTGTCAAAAAACTGACCTAACTCAACCTGATTACACCCCTACAAATTAATCACTAACAAGAATATTTCATTTCAATAGTACTTCTAAAAATGTTTCATGGCCAAAAGTACAAAGGAAATGGAAGGAGAGGAAACATTCTTTAAACAGCAGCAGTAAAAATATATTTAACTAATATCTAATTGATACTCCAAAACCAAAAATGGGGCACAGTCAATTCATATCAAAGGACAACAATATGATGACAATTTCCAAAATGCCCATAAGTAGTAACCCCAATCCAAGATATACACATGCACACACATATACATTCTCGATAAGCCCAAATGAGGATATATATCCACAAGTATGGAGAAAAGGGAGGGGAGAGCCTGTTTACAGAATTCTTTGTATACTGCCTTTCATTTCCCATTTATACCAATTTTTGTTGAGAGAGAGCATGGTTGAAAGTTCAGTTTCTCTGCCTTCTCTTTTTCTGTTTACGCACTTTTTACATACTTATCCAATGAATCATAATAAGTAGTAGTCCATGGTTCATATGTTGAACACAGTTAACATAAGCTGTGACTATCAAGCAACTACCGGTTGGAAATTTGGACGTAGAGATGTACATTTAACACTTACAGACTGACTAGCCTAAGATTGCCCAAGTTCCCAATCATCAGCCTTGAGAAAATTTTAGTCACAACTTCGATAGCACTGCTCTTAGTTTTCAGCACTAATTTCCAGGTTAAAAAGTGATCTAGTTTCTGAGGAGAGAATATAAATGTAACTGTTAATTTTGAAGTAACATTGCAGAGAGTGGGTGAATTGAACCCAGAACTTTGGGATTAAAAATGAGACACAGAGACAATGTTCAATACAATAAAATACCATCGTAATTACATTGCTGGGGACAGAAAATTTTGGAGACAAATATGAGGAGGGTTAATATTTTGAGTTTGCAGGGCACATGCACATAGTATACAATGGTGCTGTTTGGTGTAACTGTTAAAACAGATTATAAATTATAGCTTAACAGATTATAGATTATGACTTTAATCAGAAGCTGTTAATCTGTTTGGTATAGCTGTTGGATTATAGATTTAAGTTGCTGAGTAATGTTTGTTAAATAAGCTGTGAAGTAGCTTTTTTAATTATTTTTTATTTTTTATTATTCACTATTTGTCTACATTTCTCATAAAAAATAATAATAATATTTTATAGTCCATTTGGGTCTTTTTCTATTTTTAAAAAAATAAAAAATAAAAAAATTTAAGAGTATAACCGTAAATTAACATGTCCACAGAAGTAAGGGATGAGCAGCTTATCAGAATTAGCTTTTTTGACTTAAAATAAGTTGTTAGAATCCGAAACTGTTTGAAATAAGTTTAACCAAACAGTCCAAAACAACTTTTTAAAAGTCAAAAGCCATAAGTTGGCTCAAAAAAGCCCCACCAAACACCCCCAATGGCTTCTAATTCTATAGAATACCACTAAAACCAGTTATAGTTCAGAAATACAATTTAGTTAGAAGCCACCACAATTAATCACAACAAAAGGCAAAGCAAAACCTCCTTTCCGTTGTCTTTTGTTGCTAGTAATTTTATGCATAACCAACAATCCTAAATCAATAGAATATCAATGCATGAAAAAAAATTCATTAAAAAATATGTTACATGAATTCGGGTACGAGAATCGAGTGTGTATTTGTATGTTGCATCAAGCCCTCCTAAACTTTAAATCTTAAGATAAAGGGATATGCACCGAAAAGTTGGATATAGTACATGGACAACATTTTGAACATTTAAATATATTGCATTGTATGTTATATGACATTCTAACAAAAGATAATTTTATTATTTAGGTGTGCTTAAATAAAATGGGACTTGAGGGAAAAGGGGGATTTCTATCTCCTATTAATGTAAGAGACTAGATATTTTTCTTTACTATCAAATGTGACTTGTTCATCAAACATTGTAAAACTTTAGATGATCCAAGTGTCTAATGTGAGAATTGGGTTTGGACAAGTGCCTCGTACCTTTACCCTTGTCATATCCGGTGGACATGGATACAGATAGGGAATAGAATAGTCTATGTACCACTAACAAGATCCACAAATGTCAACATTGCCCTAAGAATTTCGAATATTTAGGAAATAGGACTTCATGGAAGAAACATTAGAATAAACCAATGAATCAGAACATTTTGATCACTGTGTTCCAACAATAACCATATATAGCCAAAAGAATTAAAAACTAAAAAAGTTTGAATCTATTTGTAGCACAAAATGATTTAATAACATCCAAATGAGGTAAACAAGTTTCTCAATTACAAAATGCAAAGAATTATGTAATGGAATCAAGTAAAGAAACACAACCTCGGGTATGACCAGGAGTTTCAATTACAAGCACTTCATGGCCTGCAAACATCCACTTGTCTCCATCTTTCAAAACCATATCAATGCCAGGAATTCTGTCCCTATCTATTTCTGATCCAATTACCTAAAAGTAGAATCGAAAAGGGAAAAATACAAATGACTTGAAAGCGTCATGAAATTGAACCACTTCAAGAGCAAAGAAAAATTATACCCTATTTGTTAGAATCTTATGATTCACGATTCTCATATCACAATTTAATTCAATATGTATGAACCCTATTCAATTCAAATCTATTGGTTTAATCTCATATTATAAGAAACTTTTGGTACTTAAAAAAGTTTTATTTATTTATTTATTTATATCTATAGTAATTTTGTATAATGCAGAGGGCATCTTTGTAATCTAGTATCACTTTTAAGTTGCAATGGGGTAGAATCCAAGTAAGATAAGTTTCAGTGAGCATATCTAATGTGAAAGAAAACGACCTACAATAAAATGAGATAATTCTTATTACATTAGTTTTCTGTAGTACATGTACAAACAAGTCCAATAAGAGTCTTAGAAAAAGCAAAATCAAAATATATCAACTTTTCCAGAAAGAATATTATCATACCTTCGCACCATACATTTCTTTCAACTCCATGTTCCCACCAGTATGATCATAGTGATGATGAGTATTCAATATGTAGGTCAGGTTTCGATTTTTCCTACTCAAGGCATCTATAACAGGTAAAGCTTCAGAAGGGTCAACCACTCCAACTGTGCCAGTATTCACATCATGTAAAAGATATGCATAGTTGTCACTGAGACATGGAATCTGATGATACAAAAAAGTAACAAAATATTACTACAAGGTTGAAGATATTAGATATTAGAAAAATAAATTTATGATTTAAGTTGATAAGTTACAAAATTTTAAGATTGACTTACAAGCTTGGACAATGAAGACTTCATAAAAGGGCCAAAGTGTGCGACCATTAGTGTTAGTGTGTGTGCATGTGCATGTGCATGTGCGCGCGCACGCGCGTGTGTGAGTGAGAGAGAGCGAGACAGCAAGTGTTTGCTCACAAATTACATATACTCATCCACAACACCACAAAGGAGCACTTGTCTGATGAAAAAAAAAAATACATTCCTGTCTTTTAGGGTGAAGCCATTAATAAAGGACACATGGGCTTAACCATAAACATTTGATTTGTTGAAACAAAGGATCTTTCCATGCCAAAAGTACATACATATTTCTAAATGTAACAATAATGTGCTAACTCTGATGCTTTGCAACCCCAAAAGGGCATGCAAAAATGGGTGACCATGTTAGTGTTCTCACTTCTCACCTATCATACATATGCTACAGTAGAGTCAAATGGAAAAGTGAAACATCTAGGTACAACAATATAATGGTAAATAAGTAAATCCTAGAATAGAGCACCCAAAAAAATGGATTGTAAACAAAAAGTGCAGCCAAACCATCATTTACATTAAAACAAAATATGAAGGGATCTGCTCACCATTTCAACTTCCAACGAGGAAGATGTCATGACAACACTACAAAAGTGAGAAACTCCAAGTGATCGACTAACTCCGCGTAAGGTTTTGTATGGAATTGACAAGAAGCGCATGAATCCATACAATAGATTTTTCCTAAGGCAAAGCTGTCTCCCACCCGGCCATATACAGAGGCCCCTCCTCAACTAAAACATGTAAAAAAACGAAATACCATTAGAAACAAAAAGGCCTTACACAGCTCATTTATAATAAGCCAAAAAACTATTGCCACAAAAATGAATATATATTCGGCTGTGTTTGGATCAGAGACTTGGTAGAGATTTGGAAAATTTGTCAAAAACTATTGCCCATCCCAAATACATCTCCAAATCTACCCAAATCCATGATCCAAACCCAGTCTTAAGTTTAAGAACAATATATGATGACAATTACATATATACATATTAAGCCAATAAACCCTAATGTCCAAGAAAACACAACCCAAATAGTTAAATCAATGTAAAATGCAATTGTCCATCCCAAATCCACACCCCAATAATTCAATAATTCAATTTCAGCTCTTAATCTCCAATTTCAGTTCTCAGTCCACAAACACAGAGAAAGCCCATGAAAAACTCGAACAATCATATTAACCTAAAGCAATTAAGCTAGTTCTGAAAATACGTATAAATCCCATATTCCCATTACCCAAATACACAATCTGAATCAAATAACAACAAATACAAAAACTTGATAACCGATTATATAAATTTAATCACCGAATTTACTTTCACAATCAAAAGTTTCAATTTTTTTCTCAAAAGGGTCAATTAATATCTAGAAAAAATCAGCATAATTGCATTATACAGAGAGAGAGAGAGAGAGAGAAGAAACCCCAGAAGAGCGAGGAAAGGAAGCCATGGCGGAGGAGGGTGCTCTACAGAGCATACGCATCATCTTGGCCTTAAATTGAGAGAGATAGAGACGAGAGGGGGAGGTGGGTCTGGGTTGGCACAGGCACATTTGCCCCTGCCCTGCTGTTTGTTTGGTAGAGAAGAAGTTTTAGAGAGAGAGAGAAAGCGAGAGAGAGAGAGAGAGATGAGTGAGAGTGACTGATGAATTGCGATTGCTCTGGAACCACGCGTTGTTGAATTAAATTAAGAGTTAATTTTAAATTGGTGGGTGGGTAGGAGGCTATTATTATGTCCAGCATAGCATAGCATAGCATAGCATAACAGAGTGTGGCAGAGCATAGGTGACAATTATTATGACTCCTCACTCTACTACTCTCTATACGGTCCTCCCAATTTTTTTTAATTAATATTAATATTTATTTAAGCCCATAAAATTTTGGGACTAATTTTTGAAAAATATTAAAAATAATTTTTTGAGGTGTTTTGATTATTGAATTTTTTCAATTTTTCAATTTTATCTTTAGAGAGTTTTTTTGAATTTTTTTCAAAAAAAAAAAAACTTTTTAGATCCTTCTACATGAACTTGAAAAATAAAAATTATCGTAAATTTTTTAAAAAATACTAAATACTACTTATTTTGTTAATTACTAGTTCACCATGAGTTGAAATATTTTAGGTTGGCTTCTTAAATAGATTGGATTTGAGAATGTTTTTATACATTCCGAAATGATCTGGTTAATTCAACCCAATTATTACTATATATTATATAAATATAAATTACATAGTATATATATGTATATTGGTATTAAAATATGAAAAATGATTTATCGACAGAGGTGTTAATGTGACTCGAGGCTATTAGTTGAGGTTCAGGTTGAAAGTTTGAAAAGTGAACATGTGTCTTGATACAAAAAATTTATAAGGCATATGACCAAATAAAATAAGCCTCTGTTTGGGAAGTGGGTTGGTTTTTTGGCTTTTTGGTGTTTTTGGCTATTTTAGCCTGGGCTAAAAAGTTTGGTTTGGGAAGGACTTTTTGGCTTTTTGGCTTTTTTGATTTTTTTTGTGAGAGAAGAGTGTAATGATTATGGGTTGGATGTGATGTTTTGTTTGTTGTGGCTAAAATAGTCTGTTTTGTCTTTTGTGACTATTTTAGCCCCAACCCAACTTGCCAAACACCACCTAAGTATGTAATAAAATAAGAGGTAATTGAAGGTAGTTGAAGTGAGTGAACAGTTATTTCAAATAGTGAAGACAGCACTTGTGTGTAACAAGGAAAGACACGTGGCTACAATAGTTCTGGTCAATAGAAAGGAACAAAATAAAGGAATTCGAAGGCATAAAGGATCATCAATCACACTTACAACACTTATACGGTGTTTCATTGAGAGATTTGAGTAGAAATTTGAAAAGAAAAATAAAAAAGATAGGTGAAATGTAAAAAAAATATATCTACATTTCACATAATTTCACATATCTTTTTTATTTCCTTTTCTAAATTCCTCCCCAAATCTCCAAACCAAACACAGCATTAGTGAAGTTTAGGAGTAGCAAATAGCATTAGCAGTTAGGTTTCTTGGGAATAGTTTATTTGTAATTTAGGTTAGCAGTTGTTCTTACTTCTTGTATTTTGTTATTGTTCTTATTCAAATATTTGTAATAAGTGACAATTTCATTAAGACAATTTTAATATTTGTTTGTTTTCATGAGTCAATACATTCTAAAGAAGTCATTGAATTTAGATCAAGACAAAAGAAACTCAACTACTTTGCTTGATCTTTTTATTGTTAATGAAATTTTAATTTTGTCGACTAATTGACCTCTGTCGATCTTGTCCAAATCAAAAATTTACTAACAATGTATTAGTATGCATATAAAATGTATTACTAACATGTGTCTTGATGTAGGAAGTTTGTAAGGCATGTGACTAGATAAAATAAGCATGTAGATAAAATAAGAGGCAATTGAAGGCAGTTGAAGTGAGTGGACAATTATTCCAAGTAGTGAAGAGAGCACTTGTATGTTTCAAGAAAGGACACGTAACTGCAGTAGTTCTCGTCAGTGGAAAGGAACAAAAGAAAGGAATTCAAAGACATAAAGGATCATCAATCACACTCACAATACTTGTGAAATTTAGGAGTAGCAAATAGCATTAGCAGTTAAGTTTTTTAGGAATAGTTCATTTGTAATTTAGGTTAGTAGTTGTTCTTACTTATTGTATTTTGTTCTTGCTCTTGCTCTTATTCAAATGGTTGTAATTAAGGTTGCAAATGAACCGAGTCGAGCCGAGCTTTGCTGAGCTCGAGCTCGGCTCGTTTACTTATTGTGGGGATGTATTTTCTGAATACCAACACGTGGCATGGTGACGCCGATGTGTTAGCCGAGGTGCCACGTGTCCTGGTCGTAACGCCGAGGTGATCTCGGCAAGGCCGAGGTTATCTCCGAAGATATCGGATTCCGAGATATGCAGATAAGGGACAAGAGTCCTAAAGCAAAGAGGGGACTTAACCAAGATAAGGATAAAGCTCTTAAGGAGTTTTATCTTTATCTCTTATAGAGTCCAGAGTAAGCAGTAAATTGGAATTCATAGAAGTCATACTTCTAGTGGGACTTGGATTGAGTATATTATAAAAGAGAGGCACCCCCATGGGTCTAAGGTATGCAATTTATGTTTTGAGTATTCAGTTTAGTACTTGATTATCTTTGAGAGATATACTGACTTGATCGTCGGAGTGCCCCCGGGTGGAAGAACCACCGCCGGAGCTTTTTCTTCTGTTACAGGTTGTTAAAGCCATCTATTCTGCCAGTGTTCTCCAGCTGATCACTAAACGGGCAGTGTGCCCAGATTTTCACCCACATAATTTGGCGCCGTCTGTGGGAACGAAGGAAGAATAGATGGCCAGTAACGGACAGCAGGAAAATATTGGGGATGACGCTCCCACCAATTGATCTTGACATTGAAGGAGACAACCACAATACAGAAGCCCGTGACCAGGGTCATAGAGAGAACGACGTCATCCCAGAAGGCGACACGTCAAAAAAGACAAACCAAGGAAAGTACTACAATGAAGATAACCTCCAGGTATGGAAGGACAGGTGCCTACGGAGGGCTGAGGAAGTAAAAGAACTGGCGAACAAGTTGTCAGACCTTCAGTCAGTCGTCAACTTCATGATGCAGAATAATGTTATGCAGCCACCATACCCGCTGCAAGATACGCCGATGCCAACAACCAACACCCAGAAGGGTGGAAGAAAAACAATCCCCGAGGTCCCTCAGCATACCAGGAGCGGAAGGCATTCTCATCAGCCTTCCAGGGAAGTCGGACGGGCAAAGCCGAGGCAAGAAGAGTCCCGAAGGACACACCACATGAAGAATCCAGACCCCAAAGAACACCGACATGTTCAGGGGCAAGTACTCCATTTTGACACAACCCATGAAGAAAGATCCAAACGACCCCACCACGAGGCCGAAAGCAGTGTACCAAAAAGACTAAAATACAAAGACAGCCGAGCTCCAGGGAGGAGCAAAGAAGACTTAAGGGACTACCTCAAGAGGAGGCAGCAGAATGCAGAAGCCGAGGTAAACTCCCCAGTAAAACCGAAAACAGCCTTCTCGGTGGAACTGGACAAATTCAAACCGCCCAAAAGATTCAGTATGCCGAGGTTTCAAATCTATGATGGTAAGTCAGATCCAAACTTTCATGTTGGGCTATACCTGAATTCAATGGCGTTATATAGCGGGAACGAGCCGTTGCTCTGCAAAGTATTCCCCTCATCCTTTGGGGAAATTGCATCTGATTGGTTCCATAAATTACCAAAGGGAAGTTCTTATTAATTTTTTTTCTTTTTTTCCTGTGAAAAAAATAAAAAGATGGATGGCAGAGTCGTTGGGTCCTATCGGATTGGAAGAGGATTGAAGGAAAAGCGGGTACCTTTAAGCACACTGCGGGAAAGTGGGCTGCTGATCCTGATGATAAAGGTAATCTTTTCACATATTTGGTGGTGAACTATGATTGATTTTCTCATAGAAAAAAAAAATCACTTGATGGGTGCTTATATTAATGTAGTTATTAGTGCAATTTGATTAATTGCTAAAACTTGATTTGTGTGAAATTATCTGTTTTGATGATTGTTGCTATATTCATATTTTAGTTCAATTTGAATATTACGCAAACTCATAGTGTTTGTCTGATTATATCATTCTATGAGTATTTGTGTGTTTTCTTTTTTTTTTTTTTGGTTTCTGGTTTCAGCCAATGGCAGCCCTCCTTGTAGAGGTAGGGGTGCTGGGGGTCGTGTTCTGCTGGGGTCTCTAGCAGAACTGAATCAAAAATTTACTAACAAAATTTACTAACAATGTATTAGTATGCATATAAAATTTATTTCTTTTTATTTTTCTATTAAAAATAAAGATGGAAAATATACATGTTTAATGTGTAATGAATATAAAGATTTTGTGTCAATTCAATTTCAAAACAGTAATGATAGAGATCCTCACAAAACACATCCCCCACAACCCTCAAAATGATATGAACTATTTATATCACAGTTAGACACAATTTCAAAAAAAAACTCAATCATATCAATAGTCAATACATCAGTAAGGATTATGGGGTACTCCTTTATAAGGGTCCCAAACATTTTTCATTTCAAAATTATTAATTTCAAATTTTATAATATATTCCTTATTTAATAAGATAAGTTGAGCCGATTTGAGATTGCAATGTTATTTTAAGAACGAATTTGAGAATTTTTTTTCCCTCTGTGGGGGAGAATTTGATACATTTTGGCCTCTCTTGATAATATGAAAAAGTCAATATATTGATTTATTTACATCATGTCACTTCTTAACTTTTTTTTTTTTTTTTTTTTTTTTTTTTTAAAAAAAAAAAAAAAAAATTAAACTAATAAGTTAAATTTTTTTTTTTTCTACTATCCAAAACAAACTTTTATAGGCCCAAAATTAGTTCAGGCCAGGCTTGGACGAGAGTCTGCACCTCGATTTTGTTCTTGGGGAAATTGCAATACAGTAAGATGCAAAAAATTATAAAAAAATATGAAATGCTTGAAAAACTGTGGAAATGCAAGTCATTGTTTGTGTAAAAAAAAAATTTAAAAATGAGTTTTAATGATTTGATAATAAAAAGAAGAAAAAAAAAAAAAAAACACAAAACACAAATATCACATTATTGTGAGACCCACACACCATTAGAACTCTCTAGAGCTCCACAATTAGAGCTCCTAATTTTTTTTCAAAAAAAGTTATTTTCACTGATATACAATTCCCCTTTGGTTTTTTCTTCTGTTTATTTTCGTACATTTTAGAGTTCGTTTGAAAAGTGAGTTGACTTTTTTATTATTTTAGTCTAGGATAAATTATTTGGGATAGACTTTTTAATTTTTTGACTTTTAATATAATGATTATATATTAAATGTAATATTTTATCTTATTAAATTAAAAAATCTATTTTATTTTTTTAAACTAAAATAACTTCAAATTCAATTCAATCTAACCCAAGTCAAATTGCCAAACGAAGTCTTTATCAGTTTACTCACTGTCTTTTTTCTTTTTTTTTTTGGTAAACGGTTTATTCACCGTCACTCATCACATTCCCTCTCTCTCTCGGAAAAGAGTAGACTCTAATTGAGGTATGATTCAGCCCTAAACTCTTTCTTCTTGTTATTTTATTTTATTTTTCTTTTTAAAAATGCTGCCATTGTGGCATAAAGGTAGGAATGGCTAGCATTTAGGCTTTGTTTGGAAATATTATATTTTAAATAAAAAATTAAAAAATTATTACATTATTTTTTAAAACATTTTTTCGTAAAAAATTAAAAAATTATTAAAATAATTTATTCCTAAATGAAGCCTTAATTTTGTTAAAAATCTTTAATATGAAAATAATACAATTTTAAATGTTACGCTTCAATTATTATTTTTTCTCTTAAATGATTAATAATCTTATTTTTTATTTTTTTTGAAGGGAAAAAAAAAAAGCTCCCTCGGGACATCGTGGCCCGAAATAACCAATTACCAGTTTGATTCAACCCAACTCATAAAAAGAGACTCCTACCAGGACATTGGTAGGTGCTAGCTATCCCACCACAACAGGTGTTCCAAGCTATTATACAACAGGAATACAATGCATTCGCAAATGCACTCCCAAGTGTCGATTTCATAACCTCCTACTATGTGAAGAGTCAACTTACCATCAGGCCATCACCCCCGACGGTTGATTAATTATCTTATTGAAATGTGAGATTCTCATGGAGATGTGAAAAAATCAAATTCCTATTTAGTTTAGAATGTTATTCATGTTGAAATAGATAATTAAGAATTACTTTCCTATTCAAACTTATTTCAACGGCTACCTCACGATTAGGACATGATTTACGGATGCTATGATACATTCCACAAAAATCATCATACATTAAAAGCCTAATAAAATTAATCAGAAAATCAGAAGCTGGCTTTTTGGTCAAGAATGTCGATGTCTCACACATTCCTACATAGTAGTTTAGTACTCAAATTCAATATCTGGTAACTGATTAAGAACATTATATAAATTGCTGAGCAAAAACCAAAAACAATTATATAAGTTCACTAATGGTGTGTTTGGTTAGGGGATTTGAGGAAGAATTTGAAAAGAGAAATGGAAAAGGTAGGTGAAATGTGAATAAAACATACCTATATTTCACCTAGTTTCACACACTTTTTCCCTTTTCCTTTTCAAATTCCTCCTCAAATTCCCCAACCAAACACAGTGTAAGAGAAAAGGGGGAAAGAGGGTGTCCCAAACCGACCACTGGGCTGCTGAAAGAGGGAAGTAGATTTGATCATGCCCATTTTCTCCAACTTATAACAAGTTTGGAGGAGCATAGAAAATACCCTCCTCTCTGGGTGAAAATCTTAGTAGTGATGTTACTGTTTATCTGGCCAAATATAGAAAAACATAAAAATGTTGCACAAAGACATCTATGGCAATTCCCTTGCAAAGATCAGTCAAGAAGTTATGCAGTAGGACATTTTAGGCACAGAAACAAAATTAGTAAGCAACCTAACTTGTAAACACAATTGAAAGCGAAGTTTAAATTCTCAAATGTAATTCCTATCCAACTCCAAACTCCAATAACAAGGTAGATTGCCATACCTTCCGGATTACAAACAGATTTTTGACAAAAGCGAAAAATAGGGCTCATATGAAGCCCCAAGGGATCAATTAACAGGTTCCCACAGTATGCAATTTTAATGTTACAAATATCGTAACTGTTATACAACAACTGGGAATGAACAAACATACATGGCGAAGCAATGCTGATTTAGCCTTGTAGAACAGTTCACCTTTTCTCTTAGATGGAGCTCAAAACTGAAATTAGCTGCCTTCAGACAGCTCTCATAGTTCATCCTGAAGAACACAGAGAGTAAAGGGAAGCTTAAAATTAGCTTAGATATATGTAGAGTCCGGAAAATAAATTTATGGTTATGGAACAGTTCATTTTTTCCCCCAGAAAGTCTAAGAACCCAGAATAGTTTACCAGAAATTTACCCAGAAACTTGATGTGTGGCTTAGATTTAATTATCATATAGTGGGATTCACACTTGAAATGAATCTCAACCATCCAATGCTTTTTTGGGGTATTTTTCTAGATAAATTTTACCCAGAAATTTTCCCCCTCTTGTTTCTGTTATTATTATTTCTTTCTTTCTTTCTCTGTGTCTTTTTTCCTTGAGCAAACAACAGCCCTTGTTGGACAGTAAAAAATATATAAATGGAGAGAGAGAGAGAGAGAGAGAGTTCATGCTTACATGGTAGTCATCCAAGTAGTCATGGGGATCATGCTGCAGAGGAAGGTCTTTTGAGTTAGATTTCCATAAATAAGAATAGGACTTACTAGAAATTAATCATCATTAAATGACATTACATGAATTAGGTCGAATAGTAAAGATTTGGAAATTTTTCTGTGTGTCTTGACCTCATTCAAAGAAAATTATTTCAATATAAAAATACCAGCTAGCATACTGGTAAGGCTTGTTGGTGGTAACATCATGTTCATGAATTTGAGTCTGCCTGGGATCCAAAAAGACATTACTCACCGGGATAACAAACCAAACAGCCACCCCAGCACCCAAACGAAAAAAAACATCCCTCCAAATTTTGGGTTTCTTATGTTCTTTTGGATGCACTAATCATTAGAAACAACTCATTCTTGCTATATGTATGCTATTATAAACTTATGCCATGTTTGGTTCACTGGAATGGAATGAAATTTTGAGTATTTGTGTTTCTCTTTTTTAATAAGTACAATGTTATGATATCATCAGTACATTATAGATGTTATATCAACCTCATTGTAATTTATATGTCTAATCTAAACAAACAATTATATACTCTTGGTTTCTTTCGTGAAAATGGAACGGCTATTCCTTTACGGTAGCTAAGGAATTGTTAATCCCATCTTCGAGGGAATAGCCATTCTATTGGAATGAACAATCTGACCTTTTTTTTGAACCAACATGGAATGGAGCACGGAATGGTCATCACATTCCAACAACCATTCCTGTTACCAAATGTAGCCTTTGGAAATGGGAAGTTCCAAATGTTAAACAATAATGGGGTGGTGGCGTGCATGCACTAGTTATTTAATAATATCTTCTATCAATACAAATTCGATTGCGTAAGTGCTAAATACATCAAAACAAAGCTCTATATTGGCGCGATGACAAAGCCAATAAACCTAATATATAACTTCAAATTATCACTTATGCTTAACTTCATTAAAAGATGAAAGAGCATAACATTATTTGTTTTATATTTAAATTGACGTGATTATTCTAATCTCTAACAAAATAGAGAAGACAGGTGGAGATTAAGATTTATAGAAAGGATAGAAGTTATAGGTTAATACCCTTCTATGGCGCCCCCTATCTCTCTTCTTGTCACCATTTTCTTTTGCTTTTTTGCCATCCTACACACATCATTGTTTTAGTTAGTAGGAGAATATTCAGAAGAAACACTAGGTCAAGCCACAAAACTCAATTAATAATTTAATTCCTTGTCAATCACCTCCTCTTCCTTAGCTCTTCTTGCTTTCTCTGCCTCCTCAAAGGCATCCTTTTCAATCTGAAATTTCATAAAGATAAAAACTTGCAAATTAGATAATATAACTATCAAATCAACTATAAAGAGCAATTCACATGATAAAAACTTGTAAATAAAATATTTGAGTGATTCTAACCTCCTTATTCTTAGCCCATATGTCTTCCACAACTGCTCGTGCATAGTCTGGGTCATCACAAATAAGGATGTTGTCATACACTGAACCAGCCTTTACCTGCAATGCAATAAAAGAGCTCCAATAATTCCAGGCAAAGCTAAAAAATTTACAGCGAAAATGAACTAATTATAGTTGGTAGCAACTCTTAAAGGGCCCACAATTTGCTAAAAACCAGATTAGAAAAGTTCAAAACAAATAGGGTCAACATTTTCTTCTTCCTTTTTGGGAAAAAAGAAAATTGGGTTTCAGACCAATGGCACGAACAACTTTTTCAAAAAAAAAATAAAAAATCAATAAAATTGGCCAAAGTCCTGCAACTGACAATAAAGCATTGCAACCTTTTCACTTCATAACAACAGAGGTTCACTGACTCAGCTTGAATCAGAAAGTGCAAGATCATAGACCCAATTAGAAGAAATAACAATACTTTAATAATAGAGAGTCAAGAATCTTACTTGCCAAACTTCAATGCCTACATATTTTATTGGCTTCAACACATAAAGGTCAGGATCATCTTCAAACTCTGCAGGGAACAAACAAGCATTGTAATTAAACCCAGAGATCCAGTTGTCATGGTCTTTGAAGCAAACATTTCAAATATGAAATAATAGAACTAATATGATTAATAGCAAAAATCCTTCACTAAACAGTAATGAGACACTGCATTAGCTTGGGATATTGATTTGGGATTGGTTCCCATTTCTCTCCTCCCGATTCTCTTTTTGTTCCCCATGTCAGTAAATCATTAGTCCGGTCTTAAGTCTAATTTCCTTTGAAAGATAATGATCCATTGATAACCGGGTTGCTTCGACATACCTTTTATTTTTAATTTCCACCTCATTAGCTTACATTCCCAAACAATTAGTGATAAGCATAACTTAAAAAATTAACAAATTCACAGAAATTTTCAAAAGTGCAAACCTAACCCATAAAAACCGTTCCCATTTCTCTCCACCCGATTCTCTTTTTGTTCCCTATGTCAGTAAATCATTAGTCCGGTCTTAAGTCTAATTTCCTTTGAAAGATAATGATCCATTGATAACCGGGTTGCTTTGACATACCTTTTATTTTTAATTTCCACCTCATTAGCTTACATTCCCAAACAATTAGTGATAAGCGTAACTTAAAAAATTAACAAATTCACAGAAATTTTCAAAAGTGCAAACCTAACCCATAAAAACCATGCAATGCCATTGCCACTATCTTAGTCATTTCAGAATCTAAATTAACAGCATCTTCTGAAAACTTTCTCTACCATTGATCAATGAAGTTACTTTATGACATTACTATCTACAGTTTTCAGACACACAGGGCTGAACATTAACCATGAAAACTTTCTTTACTATTGACCAATGACACATCTAGCACTGCCCATGTTACCAGTTAAATTTCTTCAGAACAGGACTGTACCTGGGTTATCAATCCATGGGGTTTTCCACTTGCCCTTATAGTTGGGGTTCTTGATTTTCTGAAGCACCACAAATCTAAAATTAGAAACTGCAACAAAATGGGGTAAAAAATATCATCCACCTTTACATTAGTAGCATTTAAGCACCTTGCGCTTCCATGGTCCTTTATATGCTGGATTTGGGACTTTTTTTGCTCTCCAGATCCCATCATCTTCTTCATCCCAATCAGCGGGCTAGAAAAAAAAGCAGCAGGATGTCATTGCACTTTAAAAAAATAATTACCCTAGTTTGATTACTTATCAATAAAATCCTGTACTCATCATATGCAGGAAAAAAAAACTATAGCAGTTCTGGTTACATGGATCATCCTATCAACAAAATAAACAGAAAAAGAGGTAGAAACTTTTTGGTGACTCCAGTGTGAGACAAGTAATATTTGTTGGTGTAACATGAATAAAAAAGATGGAATCTTTTTGGTGACTCCAGTATTTTTGCTGAACTCCAAAAGAGGAGGAATCATCCAATTGCTGGAGAGAGAGAGAGGGTCATCTGCAGAAAGCAAAACTTGAGCGATCAACAAACCTTTTTAGCCTTTGGATCAGGGATCTCAGCTGGTATTGAATCATATCCCTACACATCAAAGTCCAAACATAAAAATTGTGGAACTTCTTTCAGATTTTTTTTTTTGGATAAATAAGCAAACTTTATCACTATATAGAGTACAATACCTCTGGTTTGACATCATTAGGATCAAAAATATACTCTCTATCATCCCAGTCTGCTGGCTGCAAGAGAAGAAAAGTCAAAATATACTTTTGGTGGAAAGAAAGACAAAAAAAATTGAATACATTGAGAGTTTCAGTTAAAACGAAACAAAATACATAACACAATTTGGACATGTAATCATCAACAAATAAATTTCCATGATCTAGGACAATTGGACATATAAATGCTCCAGATATTCCAGTAATGAGGTGAAACCTTTTTTGCATGGACATCTTTGATTTTCGGTGGAGGAAGGATATCCCAGTCTGTGTACAAGCTTCCAGTTTCTCTCTCTCGGTTATCGACCAAGATGCTGTAACTTGCATCTGGCCTCAAGATAAATGTGTAGAAATGAGTTAACTTGTCTGTTTCACATTGTATTTCTTTTTTGATGGGATAATTTTGGCCCTGATATGAAACTATAGCATGGAGCTTCTTCTTTTGCGTGCTACATATATCTGGTCCAAACATTAGACTGAAAAACGGAAAAGGAGCAGTGAGAGAAGCTATCTTTTATAGTATTGAATTGAAATTACAAGTCAGGGGAAAAAATTTAAAAATCAAACAAGCAAAAATTCTTTGTGCAACACAATGTCATTTATGGCAAGACACGAACCAAGGCTATATAATACATGTTTGGTCCATGTTTCACAGCTTGTATAAAATAGCCTTTACAATACATGTAGAGGTTACTACAAAGGATATGCTTCTTGGTACCAAAAGTCAACTCTTAGTCCCTAGCAACCCACCAATAACATGAGAATTAATGGTATTACAGTTTTAAGAAAAACATGATACATCAGCTACCAAAAGTAAGGTTTTGAGAACTAGATAAGAAAAGCCACTTTTAGCAAATATTGCTATGTTCATGAAATTATCCTACAGTGATCATCTTAAAGATGAAAAAATAACACATAATATCGTTTTGTTTATTAATATGAAACACATATAGAAATTCATAAAAATAAAAAAATAGAGAACACAAGAGGACAGAAAATATAGGTACTTATACATGAGAGTTTGACCCTAAGACAGACAGATTCTAACGGGATGAAGTGTGACCATCAAAAGCTCCACAAGAAAAACTATATGAAAAATAAGGTAATGACATACCTGTAGGGAGTATCACCACCAAATTTCTTCTGATTGACATAACCAGAAAGAAGCTTAATGTAACCACCACCACATTCAATATCCTGTTCAAACTTTATAGAATACTGGAACACAAGAGTTCTGTCCTTGTTGCTAAACTCTGGTATCTTTGCAGATATGGCGTAATGCTTGGCATCATTGTACGTCTGAATACCTAAAAGATTTCGAGATAGTATGTGTAACCACTGTAGTTGTTTAGCATGCTACTCAACTAAATACACAACAGTTATGTAAAGGCTCTAGGTTTTATTACCACCTCAGAGTTGCATGCAACCCAAAAACACAACAAAGAGAATATAAGAGAAAGTACACATTTATAACTAAATTGTATATTTACATACATATAAAATCACGTATATCAATATAATTGAATTTAAAATATAAAAAAAAAAACCATTTTGTGAAAACAATGCAATTTCATGCATTATACAAACAAAACTAAATCGCCTTGAATCATACCGAATCATAGTGAATCAGAATTTAATAGTACAATGCATTCAATTTAAGATTCAACTATGCAAATCAAATCATTTTGGTTGAAAATCGTATTGAATCATAATTAAATTTATGGTTAAATCCATGTCACTCTAATTTTACAGTAAGGCCATGTTTGTTTGGGTGGACATGAGCTTGGGATTGGACTAATAGTCCAATAAAATTATTAGTCCGATATTTGGTTAAACAATTGAGGTGCGGACTAATTATTTTAAACTTGACTATTAGTTAAGTTAGGATACATAATCCAACGGATTCGTAATCCTAGGACTATTAGTCATGGGAATGCTAATCCAGTCCGCCTAAACAAACATGGCCTAAAGGTTATGAGTTAGCATTAGCAACTTATCGCATCCAACATGCCAAACAACACGTGGAATGGGCAGCGAGCAACACATGCAACGAGTAGCAAGAAAACACACAAATACTCATAGAATGATATAATCAGACAAACACTATGAGTTTGCGTAATATTCAAATTGAACTAAAATATGAATATAGCAACAATCATCAAAACAGATAATTTCACACAAATCAAGTTTTAGCAATTAATCAAATTGCACTAATAACTACATTAATATAAGCACCCATCAAGTGATTTTTTTTTTCTATGAGAAAATCAATCATAGTTCACCACCAAATATGTGAAAAGATTACCTTTATCATCAGGATCAGCAGCCCACTTTCCCGCAGTGTGCTTAAAGGTACCCGCTTTTCCTTCAATCCTCTTCCAATCCGATAGGACCCAACGACTCTGCCATCCATCTTTTTATTTTTTTCACAGGAAAAAAAAAAAAAATTAATAAGAAACCCATTTCATATCAACCAAATACTAACACAAATACTTCCAATACAGATATATAAATGCAGAAATATGTATACATATACACTCACAAATATAGTGAGAGACTGAATTTTAGGGAGAGAAGGTTTGATTAACAATTCTTTTCATTTAATCACCAATAGATGAATGTCACCAAGAAAATAGGAAATGGTGAAACCCAATAAGTTATGAAATGTAGATTGTCAAATTAGTATAAATTGAAGCTCAGTTTGGTAGGTGAGAAAGGGCAAACAAATAAATCAGATTTTTGAACCGTAAACTTTCTTAGATTAAAAGAAACACATACAGTCGCTGCCTACTCCCACTTTTTCCTCTTCTTTATTTTCCCGGCAACCAAACAGTTGAAATTGGAAATAAAAGAAGTTTTTTTTTTTTTTTTTTTTTATATTGAAAACGTGTTTACAATTTTTTTTGCTTTGAATCACAAAATTTTGAATATTAGAAAGGAACTATAAGACTGTGTGTTGAAAGAGGTTAGAGATTATTACCATCGAATCTCTCTTCGAAGATAATTTCGGAATATGCAGAATCTATGAGAAGGAGTAGAAGCAGAAGCAGAAAATTAAGGGCTTTGATCAGCTGAAACTCTGACATTTTTGGGCAGTCTGATGAGATGAGAGTAGAGTATTGAGTATTTTAGCAGATGAGGCCTTCTTAAGTGCCCACGTATTTTCATTTTATTACAGCAAGACCCCTTGTTGACTCCGATTTTGATAAAATTAAAATAAAAAAGGGGCAAATTATCCTTATATTTTGCCTTGTGTATTATTTTGGTCTTTCAATTGATTCAATTTTAATTCTTAATTTTAATTTTTGTGTCAATTTGATCCAATTGATAATCTCGTTAGCGTTTTTGAAGAAAAATAATAGCTGAATTGTTTGAGGTAAACTCATTAGTTGAGTAAGTTTATAATTTTTTATTGTTAAAAATATAATATATGCCATTTATATACGTACTTTTTATAAAAAAATATTAAGAGTTGTAATCAATTAAATCAAATTAAAATCAAGGGGCTTTAGCCTAGTTGGCTAGCTTTTTGACTGCCAAGTCTCTCGTAAGGGGAGGTCTTAGGTTCCATTCTTAAGAATGGAATAGAAGGGCAAGATAAAAGTGTATGGGTGTGAGTTTTAACTCCTCAAAGTGCTAATCTAGTAACTAATTATTGGCTTTTGCCGATTAAAAAAATCAAATTAAAACAAAGTCATAAATTCAAGGTTAAAATCGAGTTAATTGAAATTATAGGGACAAAAATGACAAAAAGACTAAAATATAGAGCCTACCATCAAAATTTGTCCAAAGAAAAAAAAAACACACACACACACAAATGGAAACACCAAATACAAAGTAGTGTGGAATTGAATAATTGATATTGTAAAATTACCAAAATATCAAAACATCTTACCAATAGATGTTAACTAATTTTTTATTATTTATAATTATTATGTGTATTTATATTTTTCATGGTTTATTATTGGTCAGATAGAGAGATAGAATTAAGTTGGAATAAATTGGGACAGAATTAAGTTGGAATAAATTGAGACAATTTTTATATATTGGGCTGAAATCGATATAATTAAACAAAAATGATACAGATTTCATATTTTGTGAAGTCAAATATAATTTCTTAATTGCATATACACCCCTTCTTCTTGGATTTAATGACAAATATGGATGGAGTTAGGTTGTGATTCAAATCCAAACACTTTTTACACATTATTAAGAATTAAATCAACAAAATTTAAACATTAAGAATCAAAATAATATAAACTTGTGAACTTTGGCAACTATAAAATAATCAATCTTAATTTATTTTTGAGCAAATTTCACTTTATTAGTGTGGTTTGAGCCATTTGGCAATAATCACATAGCCCTTACGCGATTATATGGACTAAAATACACCATTAAACATTCTGTTCAACTAAAAAAAAATGTAAAATACGTGGCAGACATAAAGAGATTATATACTCATTTTTAAATTTCAAGAGGATAGACCGCACATGGAATAAAGTATAGGGGTTTAAAGTACGTTTTGTCTTCCAAACAAATGACAAAAATATTCATAGTTTACACACTTAAGTTACTTATATAGAGAGGTATTTTAGTTTTTTTAATTAAATTGCTAATAAATTTAACGATGCATTTCAATTCACAAATCACAAAAAGAGTATATGATCGTTTATAAATATTAGGAAGATAAATCATACATCACCCAAATCATAAGGGACAAAAGTAAAGTTGGCCTTTTATTGTTTTTATTAATAATATAATAATAAAAAAAAACTAACCACACGAGTCTCAATTGGAAAGACCCAAGTCATGTAATTTAGTTGAAAAACAGTGGGCATTCTTTCACTTGCAAACGTCTTGACGGGGGCATCGTTTACTTTGAAAATTCAACCATTTTCTCTCTAGACTTTGGAAAAAATGAACAAATTGGAAACTCATCACACCCTTCCTTTCCCATTCAACAATCCAGCAAACTCCAAGAAACATAGGACTCGACTCGGAGACTCAATTGTGTTGACCTGTTGCTTTTTCCAGAGTCTTCCATTTTCTACTAACCAATCAATAGAATCAAAAACTGTGGATCACAATCTTGAATTTCTTGGTCTTTCTTCATACCCTGTTCCGCAATCTACTCTCCGAATTGGAATGTATTATTTATGAAAAGAGAAAATTAAATTAATTTAATAATTATAGTCATATTTTTAAATTGTATTTGTCTTTAGAAAACTAACGAATGTCTTATGAGAGTAAGATCTATGATGAACTCACAAATCATAACTTTTTGCATGTCATTCGTGTATTAGTACCATATATAATCCATTGCACTAATATATTGATACAAACAATTTTTTTTTGTGTATTTGAGTTTTCTCCCTTAGTTATATACTAACACTGTGTTTGGTTGGCAAATTTAAGGAGGGATTTAGAAAGGGAAAGGGAAAGGGAAAAAATATGTGAAATTAGGTAAAATATAGGTATATTTTATTCCATTTCACCTATTTTTTTCATTTTCCTTTTTAAATTCCTGTTCAAATTCCTCAACCAAACACAGCATAAAAGAAGTATCCCAAACCCATTAATTTAAGTTGTCAATACCAATTCTTTGAAATCTAAACACAGAATCAACTTCGTTGTTTCATTGCCTCCTGGCTGCCAAAACAAAGCATGTAACCATACAAAGAACAATGACTCAAAATATTCTTTTTGCATTGCATTCACCCTTATGTAATTCCTCTATATAAAAAGAACAATGACAATCACACCCCGCAAAAAGAATCCAACCTCTATCAGCATCATCCAAAAGTAGAGGAAAGGGAAGATGTTCTTCAAACCATTGTCAAGAAAGTACAGAAAATCAGAAAATCAGAAAATCATGTGATACAACCACAGAGCCATTGAATTCCAAGTACCTTTAGCCCATTGACATTCACAAAAACACACGTCTCAAGTCCCAATCATCAAGAGAAAACAATGGAAGATAAGAGAATAGAACAAACACTTCTCTTTTCCCAGAATTACTCGCATACTGATAACCAAACTAGTCACAAACACAAACTGATAACTAAGTTTCAAAGACACAAAACATCCAAATTGCAGAATTTTGCGTGAATTCCGATAAGATTTCCAATAATTATGGTTATCCACCAGAAAAAGGAAAGATAAGTACGCTTGACCTTCTAGAACTTCATGGAACTAAGATGCTGACAGTGAATTTGCATCTTCCTGTACCTTCTAGCCACCAAATAAAAGCAAATTTTTTCCATCAAACTAAAAAAGTAGAAAACATATCAACCTTTGAATCTGAATTGAAATAGTAGAACATACACATACATGTTAAGGGAATCCTATTCAAACTCTTTCAATTTGTATGGTTTGAATGAAGAAAGTTCCAAATAGAAACCGAAAAACAGAAAAACAGAAAGAAAAAAAAAGAACAGAAAAAGAAATCCTTGAAAAACTCCATGTCAAATATGCTTCTTGATTGTCAATAACTATTTAATCTATACCTGAACTGAACCCAACTGTAGGATTTATATATACATAAATCAAAAGACTGAGCTCCTTTAACTACTTGCAGTTGAAGGGCCCTGATTCAATATTACCAAGCGGAAAGTAATTATTGTCATCTTCTTGCTTTGATTTCCATAGTCGGTGATGATTGTGGGCCACCACCGAGTGCAGCTGCAGCAGATTCCACATGCGTAAGAAGGTACTCGTAAATCTTCTTCCTTATCCTGTCAATCATCTCTGGCGAGATACAGGGAGTTTCTTCTTCGTCCTTGCTCAATCCAATCTCATCTAACCAGTCGTTCACGCTCTTCAGCTGTGTCAACATGCCCGCTATTTGACCATTATCCGATAAAGCCGAGGTGTCCACATCAGCATCCAAGAATCTCTCTACAAATCCCAAGAACCAATCCTGAGATTCCACCCGCAACCTTCCTGCCAAGTCAACAGCTTCATCTAGACCATCTCCTTTGACCCATTCTATTGGAGGTGGGGCCGGTGGCTTCTGATTAACCGCTGGCACGTCCACTAGTCTGCGTGGAGTTCCTGGGGTGGCAATCTTAGAGCTCACTGATTGGCGTGCTTTGGCTTGAACTTTTGTTGAAGCACTTTTTGCAGAGTTCTCGAGAACTATTATGGGTTGATTTCCAGAGACGGTTTTGGGGTTAGGAGCAGGAGTAGGAGATGGAACTGGGGTTGAAGCAGATTTTTTGCTAAATACCGTGAAGGATGACAAATTGGTCGCTAATGCGGCTTGGACCCACGAAGCTGCTTGTTTCCGTCTGTCTGTTGCAATCTTAAGTACTTCTTCTGTGGGGGTTTCTTCAGGATCAGGAGATGAACCGATCAGAATGGTTTTAGATAGGGAGTCAGCGATGAGACGAGCATTGTTCAAGCTTGCATGGAGAGACAAGAACTGTTCCACTGCAGGCTGTGGGTTATCTTCCTTAGAAGAGAAACGTAGCTCAGAATATGTGCTGCCAGAGGAAAATATTTCAGGATTATGAAGAGTCAACATGAAAAGAAGCAAATAATAACTGGCCAGATGATCTGTGAATATGATAGCGAGATTTGAAACACCAAAAGAAAATTAAAAATGCTATAACATGTTTTACATCACTATGTTTTCCTATCATAGCATATCAAATATCAGTTGTCAATCTTCCATGTAACAGAATATTATACATTTTTACAGAAATATATTTACAATGTTATTAAGGATTGTTAAATCTAAAAACTAAAGGCCAAACTTCTAAATATAAGGCTTGGGGTGTCAAAAAACAATTTCAAGGATCACTAAATCTACAAGCCAAATCTCATATAATTTGACTAGACATGGGACTGAACTATAAACAGTTTTCATTTCTCTTTTCAGTGCATGAGAAATGAAAAACTGAACCAGATAACAATTTTAGAAGCAGTAATTAAAATGAACATCCTAATAGCATGATATGGATCAGCATTGCAAGAGGTTTACGAAAAGAGATGTAGGTAAGGATGATGTTGGAGCTCTATCCTATGAGGAATGAAAAGATGGTCACTATAGCCTATACAAATGACTAAACACACACAATGATGAATGTGTTACCTCAGAATTTCCTGCAACTACAGTAAAATCAAACCTTCAGTGGAAATAATATCTGCATTTCTTGATATTCAAGGATAGAGTAAAAACATTCAACCTTTCAAAACATTCAACCTTTCACAGATAACAGGCAATGCCTGATAAATTCATATATTTTCTGGAGTCTCATTTCTTTCTCTTCAGAGGCATATTGGTACAGTGAAAAGGTAATAGAAAAGAAACGAAATAATCATCAACAGAAATCAATTGGTTATGAAAATATGAAGACAAAACTACTTCTAGATGTGAACCCTGATAAATTTAGGACAAAAAAGTATCCATATAGAGAATATATCTGAAGAATTAAGTCTGAATAAGATGGACAACACAAAAATTATGGAGACAACTTGGTACTTGTATCTGATCAGCTTATAAATTTGGATATTGTCTATGTATAAACCATGAATGAACATATTCACAAAGCTATTACAAGTTAGAGTCAGATAATAGACTAGAAAGGCACACTAAAATACAACAAAAAGCTTCACTTCTTCAAAAATTGGCTTGTAAATAGTTAAGAAGTATGTACAAGTACATGTAACACAATACAAACATGACACAAATATATTGACACTATAATTTAAAAAAGAAGAAGCACGACATGAATGCAGTTTTTAGTATCACAGCCAGCATTGTAGCATGCATGAGTTCAAAACAATTCAACTATAAAATGATTATTAATATTAGTAAATGACAAGCATCTATGGAGAAGTTCAACTCATTCAACAAATCTAAACATGACATTGTAAAGAAATAATGAAAGTATGAAGATAGTCTTAAACATAAACTATGAAATATAAATCGAGTTCAAATATTAAAGATTTAATCAACAATTCTACACGTAACTGTCCATACCAGGGTCTTACAATTTAGTTTGGTGCATGTGAGACGGGGATGGAGAAGCACATCTATCATTTTATAAGGTAACTTCAGAGCTCATTTTTCGATTTGATTCATTTTTAGGAAAGAGAGAGAAACTTGTTTCTACCATCTTTTGACCTGTGCTAATAATTCTGGAAATGCTGTAAAGCTTACGAACTAAGAATATTACTAGATTTAATAATCTCATATTTAGACTAAACCAGAATTCCTTTTTCTCTTTTAATTATTTTTTTACATGTTATGGGTACAGTTAGCATAAACTGGAAGCAGGAAGATGCCAATTAAAAATTAGACTACAAACAGTATAAGAGTTATAAACCTAAATTATAATCTATAAATCCTTCGCCAGACAACAAGCTGACACATGCATCTAATTTATAAATTATCAAGCAATGAATCATGCCCTGCAAACTATGGAGGAACAACATCTGACCTAAACATGAGGTGTGCCTACCCTAAAATTAATTATTTGGAGACAAGTGGTTGGAACCAGATATAGATGTCTTGTCAGTAGAACAAAGTGTATGTTTGTTTGACACAGCAAAATTTCGGAGTAAATGTCTTGCAAACTAAACTGTCCTCTCCATACTTGATTTGGAAACATTGGAACAATTTGGCTACCAATGGTAGTGATAATCTCATTAACAAAGTGTTCTTGAATATTGGATTCCTTAAGGATGATTAAATAACTTCAATTTACCATTTGTGATTATCACCATCTGAGTAATGTTGAAACTACTACATTGCTGCCAAAATCATTCCATGGAATACAATCAGATTCTAACTATTATTATTTTTATTGGTAAGTGCAGATGGATTCTTGAATAGTAAAAATTAAATTAAATTAAATTATGCCTTTGAATGATTGAATCACACAAGAGGTAATTCTGCATTTACCAAAAGTATTAATTTCCTTTCCTAGGAAGAAATACCTTAAACATCGAAGTAAGCTCTCTGCAGCTGAAGCTTCTTGCATTGCCTCTATTGCAGCTGTTTGTGCAGCATCTCTGTGCCTCAAAACTTCCTGTAAAATTCAGTATGCAAATTTTTGTTATGAGAATCGATGTGTGGAGCAGTAATACTTATATGCTCCAAATGTTAATAAAACTGAGGGTCTGCATGTGAATGTACAGTTTTGAAGCGGTCAACCCTAAACCAACAAAAAACTGAACAACCCTAGAATTGAAATTGTTGATTGGCTAAGTAGCATAGACACAGACATATGACATGGCACAGACAAACCGATACAATGATTTTAAGAAAATGCAAGGCACGATATGCTTGGGACACGTTAAAAATCTATATTTTCATGAATTAATTATATGTCAAACATATGAATAGTTCATTAAAGATAATGAGAAAAAAAGAAAGTAATATAACACTAATTAAAATTAAAAAGCTATATATTTCATAATTTAAACATCGAGATATCATTTATGTAAGAAATTATAAAGGTTGTACCTTTCCAAGCTTTGCAAGAGAAGATGGGAGTGAAGCCCATGAAACACTTCCATCTGTTAATCTCCTATTACTAAGAGAAACCTTGACCAAGTTTCCTGGTAATCCATGATTAGCAGCCTCACCAGATGATTTCTTTCCAGCAGAAGTTCTTTGCTTATTTGACTTGTCAACACCATCCGAATCTCCATTTGCAGTAACTTTCTTTGCAACCTGAAATTTGTTTTCCTCTTTGGATGGTTTCATCGATATCTGGACCTTGTTTTCCTCTTTAGATGGCAACCTTTCACTGGTTGATTTTCTAGGAACCTGGTCAATATTACTCAGTTAGTGCAGAAAAACAAGATTACTTGCTAGAAGGCTAAAAATAAAACCAGTCTGACAATGACTACATGGCCCATTAAAAAAAAAAGGGAGAGAGAAACAAAACTCAAAGAAGCAAAAAAAAAAATCTAAATTTCAAATCCATTTCTACATTCGCACTAAATCAAGACAACATAATAGATTTAATTCGTAATTCATATATCTTTTAAGTTTTAACCCGGAAATAAATGCTAATCAAGTTTTCTAACTAATCTTTAAACGCCAACAAAAGAACCACTAACTAAACAAATCATATGAAAAGGATCAAGTAGACTCTGGAAAGCTAATTAGAGAGAGGGGACTAAAATCAATTTCAATCAATCTAGAGTACAAATCAATAACCAAATAATAAACCAGACAAATCTCGATTAATTTTTAACGAACATATGATGATAAGGGCTTAAAGACGACTTACAGAAGTACTCCGAGACTCAGGCTTCAAATCAAGCCTGGTGCCCCTCAATCTTGGACTTTCTCGACCCTTCATTTCCATGTTTCCTTCCCAGCTCTTTCTCAAAGCTTTAGGACCCAACTCAATCCCCTGAACCCAATTCTTGATTGCATTCGCAGCGGGTGCCCTCTTTGCAGCCAGACTTGCCCCACGAGCTGAACTGGCCCGTTCCCCCAATCCCAATTTAGCCGTTGCCTTCTCCAACCCTTTGATCTTCGCTTGCTGCTTAAGCCCATTTGCAAACTTCTCAAAAGAAGTGGGCAACGAATAACAACTCGTTGGAGACGAAGGGATTGACTTTGAATTCGATGACTTCAATTTAGCCAAAGATTCCTTCTTCTCTATCAAATTCAAACCCGGTTTCAACAATTGAGACTTTGATCGACTCAACATCGGTGTTTTATTATCCGATTTATCCTCCCTAGCACCACCATTTAATCTATCCTTCCCTCCAACGTGGCTATGGCTATGGCTATGGCTATGGCTATTATTACCCAATACTTTTGCACTTGATTTTGATTTATCTAAGGGTTTTGAACCCGAAGAAGATTCAAAATTGTTATTATTAAGGAATCCCAAAGATCTGGTTGCAACTATATCTTCAGGGCTTCCCACACAAGGGTGGCGCCCCGGGACCGGCCTAACCCCTCGAAGAATGGGGACCGGGGAGGCAGCATCAAGCCTTTCAACATGTATGAATTGACCCAATTGGAGTTTATCACTAAGAATTAGATCATCATGTTCATCAGGTAGAGAAACATAGGTGGCATGAGATGAATCTGATACCTTGAGGTAAAACCCTTGGTTTGGGAAGAGTTCACCACCAGCTAGTGCAGGGACAATGCTCACTACTTGCAATAGAGATGACCTGTGCTCACCAGCAATCTTCACATCTGTGTTCATATGCTGTAGAAGCTTCAATAGAACACCAGGGACCAAAGTAGCCATTGTTGGGGACTTCAATATGCATCACTCTGAGAAAACCCAGATGGAGAATTTCAATCTCTCCTATGAGAACACAATAAATCTTAAGGAGGCATTGGAAAATAAGGGTTTTCACCCTGAAAATGAATCTTGGCAGGTAGTAGAGAGGGGAAATGAAAGTTGTTACCCAGAAAAGTTAAATCGTACAAAACCAAACACAAAGAAAATCAAACTATTCAACAACCCAGATGAAAAGGTTAAAGCGTTAGCACTAATGGTGTACAGATTCAGCAAACAAAACAAAAGTAGAGTACACACCAACCCAATTGAAATTTGTAACCTTAAACCCTACCCCCCCAAAAAAAAAAGAAATTTGTAACTAAAAATGCATTGGGTAATTAAAACCTATTCAAAATGAAAGGGTTTAAAGCTTTTCTAGTACAAATTATGACCACAGGGGGAGAGAGGAGAGGGGGAGGGGAGAAGGGAGGGAGAGAGAGAGAGAGAGAATATGACTTGACAGAGAGGCCTTTGGGCTTTTTGTTGTTTTAATATGTGAATAATAGATAATAAAATATTAATTTTTCTGCAACTCAGATAGAAAAATTAATAAAGTTGGGAAATAATTGATGGGTTACAACTCAAAACTGGTATTGAAATGCTCAGCAAAATCCATATTCAGATGTGTAAAAAAGCAACTTCTTGAAGGGGCATTAGTATTAGAAGATAAGAAGGCAACCTTGATAAGTGTTTAAAATGTCTGAACATGGGAGGTGCTGAATTTTCAGAAGATTGATTTTGTTTTTGTTTTTTTGAAACAGATATAAAAAGTTTAACAGAAAATAACTGATACCAGAGGGAGAGAGAGAGAGAGAGAGAGAGAGAGTCACTGCATGATTGATGATCCAAAACAGTGTACCTGACACAAACATACGTGTCCACTAATTTGGAAGCTGACCCACTTTTTGATCATCATGTATGAGGCCACCTATATTGTTTCATGTAGTTAAATTATTTTTTGAATAAAAAAAAAATGTAGTTAAATTATTTCTTTACAATGAAATGAGAAACCAAGAATTAAAAGAAAGAAAATAAATTGGGTATGTTTGGTTTGTGTTTGAGAGATGTGTTTTAGAGATAAAAAGTACGAAAACATGTTTGGTTTGGTTTTTTTTAAAAGATGTTTTGGAAAATTATTTTGAGATAGAGTTTTGGAAAAAGTGATTGATTTGATATATGTGAGAGAGAGATTTGTTTGGAAAACTTGTTTGGTTTACAAGTTTTGGGAAATTTTTTTGGGAAAATTTGTTTGGTTTGATTATTTTTGAAAACTTATTTGTAGAGAAAATTTCCCAAATTTTTTTCAGAAAATCAAACCAAACGAGCCCAAAATGTGGGTTTTCATTTTTTTTTATTTATTTTGTTTTTTAAAGTTGAAAATTAATGATTAAAAAACATATATTAATAAAAATACACATTTGTCACTCATGAATAATTAAATAATTTTTATTTATTTTTATTTCATAAATACTTTAACATAGCTAATGAAGCGAAAGAGACAGCAATTGTGCCAAGAAGTGGAAGGAGAATCTTTACAGAAAACAATCTATAATAATATATGTTAATTTATTTGGTTTTGGTTTAATATCCAATTTTATAATATGGATAAGATGAATTTGATTATTAAATGATATTTATATGTGTGTATATTATATATAGAGTAATGTCACTCTAAATATATACTCCATTATGTGATAAGAATATAAAATTTTGCATAATTAAATATGTGACAAATTAAAAATTAACACAACATTTTACATGTTTGTGATTAAAATTGTGAAGATTTTATTAGAACCTCAAATATTTTCTTAATGGGGGCAGTTTGTCTCTAGTTTACGTAGGGCTCATCACGGATTATATTTCGATAATTTGAACTGTTCAATATGTAGAACTTATTGAGTGCTTTATCGTTGTAAAATATAACATTGATCTGATATTGATAGCTACTTGTTTGGATTAGATTTTTGTTAACAATTTATTTTAAAAATTATATTTACCATTGAGAGAAATCTAATCCAATCAACAAACTATCGATATTCGATTAACGTAATTTTTTTACAGAAATAAAATATTCGACGAGTTCTACACATTGAACGATTTGAATTATTGAAATAGAATCTCTGATGAACCTCCACAAATCTAACAATACATTTCAATTCAATCACGGACTAGAGAGAACCCTAACGGTTTCTTAATAGGGTCCAACTTGTTTCATGTTGAAATCAAGACTGGACCCGTCCAGTTCAGCCCATGGGTCCATTTTCCATTTAGAACATCATGTTAATCGGATATTAATAACTATTTGATCGGATAAGATTTGTATTAAAAAATGAACGGTAAAAAAATAAACGGTTGACAGAAATCGGAACCAATCAAATAGGTATCGATATCCGATCAATTTGATTTTTTACAAGAATATAATACTCGACAATTTTTACATATTAAACGATTCAGATTATAAAAACAAATTCTAAAAATAGACCCATAAACTAGACTTGACGGGTCCAATCTTGAACTTAACCTGAGCCACGGTAGACCCTTCTTAAAATATATATAACATACAACTGGAGTGTGGATGCATGTGCAAGCTGGCAAATGGGTTTGTCGGTTACCTATGGATGTGTCAAATTTTGTGGAGGTGATGGAGTCAGATTCCGTCGAAACATCGGCGTTGGATCCCTCCTTTCTCTCTCTACAAATATTAGATTTTCTCCTGTTATCATAAAGGATGGTTCCTCCAAAGAAAGGACCATGTCATTGTCAACATGTGGTTCATGAAGTGGTGGATCATGGACCACTCACCGCCGGGGGGTTGGAACATAATGCTTGAGCTGGTTATGTGACCTTATTTACTGACCTCTAATCCGCTAAAATCATCTCCATTAATTGATATCAAAATCAGAGACAGATGTAAGATCTGAATTTTGAGAGGACAAAAATATATGTAATTTTTATTGAAAAAATTATTATAAAATTTAAAAATTTAATTTATATCAATACAAAAAATAAATAATATTACTATTAATCAGATTTTTTTTGTCAAAATGACTGAGAACAAAAATATAATTGAATATATTTCTTTTGTTTGTATTAACTTAACAAAATATTAACTCTTACTATATGTCTCCGTCTAATAAAATTAACTATTTAAAAATATTGTAATCATTATTTTTTTATAATATATATATATATATATATATAAATATTTATGATAAGCTCAACATCAAAACATTAATTCATATCTTTCTCAATAAATATGATCCAGTAACTTATTATAAAATCATCTTTCATCTTATTACATAGTTTAATTTTTAAAAAAAAATTATAATTGAAAATTTATATTTTTATGAGTGTAATGATAATCCGTTTGAATAAGCAGTATTAAATTTTATGAACTTATTTTAAGAATGTCATGTTAAAGTAGATAATACTCTTAGAGCATCTCCAAGGGGATAGTTAAACAAGGCCTGCTAAGCATTTTAGCCAATGTAAGTCTAATTTTGAGCTTCAATGGATTAGCTATTGGGCTAGCTACTTTACCATCCTATTTTTTTTGTGGCTACAATTGAAGAGCCCCAGAGGCTCTCCAAACAATTATGTATGTGTATATTTTAGATTTTTGTATATTTATGTCTTGGATTTGGGATTTTATATTATATATATATATGTGTGTGTGTGTAGCAATTTTATATATTCTTTCAATTCTATTTGATGAATTACAGAATAAATTATTTTGTATTTTGTATTTTTTTTCTCCTCATTCTACAGGTTTTGTATGTTTGTATATTATTGCAAATTTATATTAGTAAAGTATCAACAATTAGTATTTTTTTATTTTAAAAATTAATTAAGTTAGTTTAAATGATTAGCTAAAATAAAAAGTATGGTTAGAGAACACAATAGCTAAAGTACTTAGGTAAAATAAAGAGTGTACTTTTTTTGTACTTTAGCTAGTGAAAAGTAGAGAGTGTGGTTGGAGTTGCTCTTAAGAATGAAATGCAAAATAAGATGCATAAGCAAATTAAAGTGTGATTTATAAAAGTAAAACAAAAAACATATGAGTAGAAAATAAGAATAGTATCAAATAAAAAAATATAAGTAACTCTCAATAATATATAAATATAACAAATAGAATAAATCAATATTTGATAAAAATCAATTTAGAAACTATTTTTAAAAAATACGAACTACTGAAATTTTGGGAATGCAAAGTACTCCAGTTTAAAATTATTTTACTAATTACTACTGTAATATACATAATTTTAAAAATTTTAGGGGTGCAACCACACCGGCCCACACCCCCTAAATCCATCCTTGATCAAAATTGTAAAATTAAAATTAAGAGTAAATTGTTAATACACTTTCTGAAATTTATTTAAAATATAAATTACATTTTATAATTTTGAAAATCACATCCTGTCTCTTGAAATTTCTAATTTATAACAAATAAACTATTTTATTAATAAATCATAAAGTCAATTCATTTTTTTTAATGATACCCAAAATTTATTTTAATTAATAATTGATGTAATTTTATTATTGTATACAAGAATAGTTAGAAATTTTCATTTTTTTTTAATTAATAATGTTAAATAAATTTTTTTTTGACAAACGAATATTTGTAATTTTTAAAATCATAGAGAGTAATGTGTATTTTAAGTAAATTTTAAGTGATATATTTATAATTACTCTAAAATTAGAAGTAATTAATGTAGGGATAACTTTTACTAAAATGAGGCATACAATTAGATGTGACAAAAATGACGGGTTTTATATATGACTGATACGGGACCTATCATTTATCCCTTATAATACAATTGTAAAATTAAATTTTAATATATTATAATATCAAAACGTTAAAATTTGATAATTTTATTTCATTAATATAGTTTTTTTTCACCATAAAATGTCAAATAAAAATGATATTTATGAATTTCATCATGAGAGAGAGGTAGAAGTTTTTAAAAAGTGAGCGGTTTAGATCACCGAAATCAATTTTAAAATGAATTTACTAATGTAAATACTATATCAAATTGAGATAACTAACATAAAAGAAATCCAATTATGACAATTTGCCAAATCTTGTATGGTTGGCAGTGCCAAAATTTGACAAGAGTTCAGACACAACATTTAAGAATTTTTTCTAATTTTTTTTATTTTATTTATAATTTTAAGGATTTGCTAAATTTTACCTTTGACAAAAATTATAACATTCTATTAGATATGCTTCAACCTAATCATCAACATTCTATTTTTTTTTTATTCGTTTTTGGAATTTACCTCTAGAAATTTAATTGCAACTCTAGCTTATTAATAACATTTTATATGTTGGTATTGGAAGAAAGTAATATTACATTTAAAATCTTGAATAGAGTAAGGGCGATAGATAAGTTAGTAACCAAACAAAAAAAAAAAATGGGTAAAATAAGTTAATTCTCATGAATATTACTTTAAATTTTGAGTATACAAAATAGTAAAAGTACAATAATGAGTTAGTTTATTTGCTAGTGTAGTGAAATTAGACAATTCTATTATTAACAACAGCTCACTCTTTTTTTTTTCTTCCTTCTAGTAAATTAGATTGTGTATTTCACTAATATTTATGGAAACTTAGGAAAACATAAGAAAATATTAAATTATCATGCTTTTA